TTAACGACTTGATCACCTTGCTCATCCTAATGGAGAGAAGCTTAGTAAGGATTTTGAAGTCACTGTTGAGAAGCGCTATAGGCCGATGAGAAGCACAACGTTTGGGATCCTTACCCGGTTTATGAAGCAACACAATATGGGCCTCAGACATAGAGGGAGGTAAGGAGCCAGTCTGTAGACATTCCTTATACAAGGACATCAGTATAGGGGCTAAAAGCTCCACACTGGTCTTGTAAGTCTATTGGGATACCATCAGACCCCGTGGCCTTGCCATTAGGGAAGAAGCCCACAGCCACGGAGACCTCCTCCGCGGTAATATCTGAAACCAAAATAGCATGCTCAGAGTTGGAAAGCCATCCAAGGGCCAACGGGTTCAACAGGGCGGCCAAGCCCGAAGGGTCAAGATCTGATGGAGTAGAGGAGGAATAGAGGGAGGTATAATACATTTTAAACTTGTGCAAATTATCCTCTTGGGAAGACACCACCCTCCCATCCACAGCACAGATTTCCAGGATTACAGTGAGAGGCCTATCATGCTGAGACATCATTGCCAATAACCTACTATTTTTATCTCTCAGAGAGCTGAGGAGAGGGAGTCATAATTATCTACAGCAGGAGTAGAAGAGTAATGGGTTGAGGCCTCTGGCACATTAGGTTGTAATTGAGATGTGAGGGCAGAGTTTTCTGACTTGATAGCAGAAACAACAGAAATATAAAGCCCCCTACTATGCGCCTTAAAGGCATCCCAAACCATGGCAAGAGAAGCTGACCCAGCATTATGTTCCCAGTAATCACGCAGGCCTGGTAGGATGCATTCTTCAGAGACGGCATGATGGATCCACTTGGGATGTAGCCTCCAAAGAGAACCAATAACCATTTCCCTCCCGGCCTATGGCCGAATGGCAGCCGGCAAAAACCCTCACCTTTCCAGGTGGACGCCATATGGTGACCTTTCAGGCATGCACAGTCTGCGTGCCTGCAGAGCCGCGCAGCGGCGCTATCTGTCACCGGCCATGTACCTCAGACATGGCCAATGACAGATCTGAGTACCGGCCCCGTTGCCGGTACCATGTGACCTGCTGTGACCAATCACAGCAGGTTACATGACAGTTGTATACAATGGATGGTTTCATTCATGCCATCCATTGTATACTAGTGTGTCTAGCTGTGAATGATCACAGCGATCACATGCACAAGCTGGGCCAATCACAGCCCAGCTGTGTCATGTGATTAGCCATGGCCAAATCACAGCTAAGCACAAAAAAAAACAAAACCTGAATGAATCGATGGCATTCAGGTAAATGCTTGCTTATAGCAAAGTAATTCTTTGCTATAAGCAAATTGTGTAAAAAAAAAAAAAATACTGATCACTTCCCCAAAGTAGTACAATGTTACTATGGAGGATGTTGGTGGAACTGCTCCGTAAAATCCACGGGTTTCGAGCCTTTTTTCCGAAAGGCCTAGCATAAACCTTAGCATAACGCCTAAAATTAAGCAGTAACATGTACCATAACACCCAACTCTGATCCTCTTTTACGCAAACTCATGCAGTAGTGTCCTTCTCCCACACACAAATGCTCATTTCGCTAGGAAGCGAGGATAAATAAGTAGAAATACTTACCTTATTGATTGCTTCCCTGGAAGCTGATGCTCTCCTCCACTATCTGACGCTGCAGGTTATGAGACAGCCCAAGCCATTTGCCAGTATAATGCAGAACTGTTGATAGTGCATTTTACATGATGACACCAGACACAAGAACAGAACAGAGGACCAGACACAAGAACAGAACAGAGGACCAGACACATGAACAGAAGCAAGTTTGTGATAGCAAAGAACATAAGTTTCTTTCCCTGTAAGTTTAAAAGCAGCCCAGATTTGGGCTTATCTTCAAACATCCTCTCCCTAAACGTACAGTAGAACCAAAGGCAACAGTTTTTTAATATTTTGAATTAACCTCCCTGGCGGTATTCCCGAGTGTAGCTCGGGGTAAAGTTTCAGTACCACAAGCGGTAACCCCGAGCTACACTCGGGCTTACCATGCGGCACTGCTCCGGGATCCCTTACCTTGTCCTGCACTCCCGCGATGTCCCTCCTGCAGTGTCCCCGGCAATGTAATCCGGTGGATGCCAGCATCTGTAATCTGGGTTCCGTCCCCTGCGAGCGTCGATACAAACGGGGGACGGAACGGTGGGAAATTTGAAAATGACAAAAAGTGACATTCACTAAAATCATATAGTAAAACATTACTGTATCAAACCATTTCACATACATTTTGTCCCGAGTGCTTTGTCCTGTGCCCTGCCTACATTTTTACTGTTCTTTCTGCCTGGAAACTGAGAAACGTCCATGGCGTCCAAAAAGTGTCCCTTTAGGTCAATAGCGGTTTTAGACCAGTGATAGTAAATCAGAACCACTTGCAGATCTGAGTGATAATGATTCGTGGGGAAATTCGTCATCAGACACTGAAATCGATTTTGCGACTTTGCTCAGTGATGTGCGAACTTGGCGCTATATTTTAAATTTCAGTGTTTTTGGTTTGATTATATTATTGAATTTAATTTATTATTATTATATTATTACTTTTTATGATTATTTATTAAATTATAATTTATGATTTCATGTTTCAAGTTTTATCCTACCCGGGATGTTTACTAGACTCTTGTTCGGACAGATTTCGGTGAGTTATTCCTAAAAATTACAGGCCTACAATAAAAAAAATACATATTTCCATGCAAAAAAATGTACCGCTTTGAGCACAGAAATATGGACATAATCAGACCGCTAGGGAAGTTAAGAGAGAGTATAATCCCTGACATTTTTCCTTTTCAATCTAATTTGTATTGAAGGGTTTAACATACAAAACACCAGGAAAAAAAAACACAGGAAACCCTTACAATATGGGGCAAATATGAAAAAAAAAATATAGAAACAAAAACAAAGGCAGTAGAAAGAAAATAAATAAACACAAAATAGAAATAGAAACAAAACAGGGTCTTTTGTTCAGGGTGTGCAATGGCCCCATAGGTGTGCGTTGTGGGCAATTATTTTCCCTGCCCACTTCCATTCCAATAAAAGTATACTACTAGGGGCCGATCAGATTTGTACAGAAATCTAATGTCAGTGTACAGATACATGAAGTAAAAAAACAGAAGGGCATGTGTCAAAGTACAACAGAAATGGTAATGACCAATATCAGTATGTTCAATAAATGATATCAGTGCCTCCATAACACCACCACGGAACCGGCAAGCACCCCTAATCATTTTTTTGCAATTTGATTGATTTCCCTCTCACTTCCTGTCCAATAGACAAATAATGAAGAGAAAATCCAGGGTCATTGGAACTAGTTTCCCCATTGGAAGATTACCCCTCTATTCTTGTTCTGTGACAACCCAAGATTTGGGATTTTCTTCTACTTTCAAGGATATTGGTAAACAACAAGCTGAGGGGAAGAACCTCCATAACAGGGTCACAGACAGCAATACAAACCTGATAGGTGTACTAATCCCTCTCCAATCTATCCAAAAATTAAAATACGTTTTTCCTTTAGTTATATTTTAACCCTAACTTACAAAATACCTAACAAATATAGCCCTCCAAACATTAAAGTCTTACTAAACCCAGGACCCTGCATCCACTATATCTGGTCTCTCACAGTACACAGAACATGGAAATGCAATTATTTTAGTAAATATAAACTGCTAAATAGCGTTTCTCATCAAAAGTTAGAGCAGTCTTGTGGCTTCTATCAGTGTCCAGCAGAGCACTAGCTAAAGCTTGTAGGAGGCGATTCCATTCTGCTCTAGAAGGATGAAAAACCTCTGAACTCTGTCTGGACAGTGCTGATGGCCCAGTGCTGATCACATGCACTCTCCCAAGAAAAAAAAAAACATCTCTAGCAATACACACCAAACTGAGCATGTGCAAAATGCCTACGGTTCAGTTTGTCTTATCAGGAGATAAGGGCTGGTCGCTTGAAAAAGGGGAGGAACAGAGAAGTCAGGATCAAACTGCCTTTTTAACAAAATGCATAGGATTAACCCCTTAGGTTCCACAGTGAGTATAACAAGCATGCTTTTCTGCATATAACAGACTGATTTTACTGTTGTGGATCTAGTAACACTTTAATATTCATTTATTGCTCCTGGAAACAGTCCTGCTCCAGGATCTGCAAGTGCCAGGAACACAGTGCTCTGGAATGTAGTTCTCACTATATGTAATTGAGCAAAACAGTGCTTATCTCTAAGGGATTGTCAGTAAGTATTATCAGTAAAAGGGGTAAAAGGGAGATAATTTCAGCAATCTTTATATACTTGCAGACTTTATCTATTGACAGTCTGAAATGCTTAACACTTAACACTTGTATTTAATTGGTATTCCTACTAACTGCCTATTTTTCTACTGCTTAAACAGCAGATCCAGTACAATTTTTTAAACTAAATTTTGTGAAGATTATTAAATGTCACATATAATATTTTTCTAGGGATTGAAAAGTCTCAAACTTGTGTTCCAGTTATTAGAAGAGACAAAGTTACAGTTTTCTAAGGTAACAAGAATTACACAATCATATTTGGACTGTGATAACTGTGCCGGCAATGAAGTAAAAACCTTTGTACAAATATTCCAAATAAAATATGAATATTAACCACTAGCCTACAGGGCACTTGTACCCCCTTCCTGCCCAGGCCAATTTCCAGCTTTCAGCGCTGTCGCACTTTGAATGACAATTGCGCGGTCATGCAACACTGTACCCATATGAAATTTTTATCATTTTTTGTGACAGTTAGAGCTTTATTTTGGTGGTATTTAATCACCTCTGGGTTTTTTATTTTTTCTTAAACAAACCAAAAACCACTGAAAATTTTGAAAAAAAAATGTTTTTTCTTAGTTTTTGTTAAAAAATTTTGTAAATAAGTGATTTTTCTCCTTCACTGATGTGCGCTGATGAGGCTGCTCTGATGGGCACTGATAGGCTGTACTGATGGACACTGATAGGTGGCACTGATGAAGAGGCACTGGTAGGTGGCACTGATGGGCATTGACAGGCATCACTGATGGGTACTGAAAGGCAGCACTGATACATGGCACTGATATATGGCACTAATAGGCAGCACTGACTGGCACTAATAGGTGGCACTGACTGGCACTGTTAGGCGGCACTGACTGGCACTGTTAGGCTGCACTGACTGGCACTGTTAGGAGGCACTGACAGGCACTGATAGGCGGCACTGATGCGCACTGATAGGCAGCACTGACTGGCACTGATAGGCGGCACTGACTGGCACTGATAGGTGGCACTGATTGGCATTGATAGGTGGCACTGACTGGCACTGATGGGTGACACTGAAAGGCAGCTCAGATGGGCACTGATATGTGGCATTGATGTGCACTGGTAGGCACTGATATGTGGCACTGATGGGCACTGGCACGAGGCACTGATGAGCACTGACATAAGGCACTGATGGACACTGACAGGTGGCACTTCTGGGGCCACACTGATCATCAGGGCACACCAATCATCAGTGCCCTGATGATCAGTGTACATGTCCCCTCCATGGAAAGCCGATTACCGGCTCTTCTCTCCTCTCAAGCTGTCAGCGTGATAGCTCGAGAGGAGAGAAATGCCTATAACCGGCATTTCCCTGTTTACATGTAATCAGCTGTGATTGGACACAGCTGATCACATGACCGAGCTGACATCTTCGGCTCTTTCCGTGATTGGTGATCCGCTGTGTCCGAGGGACACAGCGCACAGCCGATCGCCCGCTGCGCGCTTCCTGAGCCGCGCATGCGCAGTGAGAATGGGATGACGTCATATGACGTCTTCCCAGAATGAGAGAACCACCTTGCGCCCATCATATTATTACTATATGGCGGGCGGGAGGTGGTTAAAGTGGTATTATATGTGGCGACTGCATTTGTTTTCTTTTTTCCCCCTCTGCTTTCACCTGGTGATCCTGGCCAGTAACACACCTCCTGTATTAGAGTGCCCCCATTGTGAATGAAGGCGCACAGGGGGCACCTTTAGACAGCAGCATTGTTAGTCTGGGCAGGTGGTAGTATTAGATGAGCTAGCAGATATATATACACTAACAAATTGAAGTCAAACTCCAGCTAATATTTTATAATCAGTTACAACAAACAGTTTTGTTCCTTTAAATGTTTGTAAAGCGGGACTGTTTAAAGTGGAACTTCACTCTCTCAGTCAACAGTGACTATTTGTAATCCTTATGCTGCTAGCATTAGTAAATAGATGGGAAAGTATATCATATTTACTTGTTTAAAACTTTTCTTTACATTTTTTCAGTTACTTCCTAGTTTCCAGGCCTAGGCAAATGATGTCATAAATCCACATCCCAGGAATTTTCAGGAGGGGAGGAGGGATTTCTCAGCTAAACACACCTTCGTGCCTGCATGCCTAAGCAGATAGATTCCAGGAAGTTAATGAAGATGGCAACAGCCAGAAATGGTTTCAAAGTGAATTCTCAGCAAATAAAGCATGGAGACATGGATGGATGGGTGTGTCCACTTTGAATATTAAAGATCAATTAAATAGCTTTTTTGGTTTGTGGTGCTCAAATGCAGTGTAATTCCACTTTGTGATATTTTCTGGGATAGTGTCAAAAATATGGGCCTGTATAGGGTACTATGAGCATATCTAATCCCCAAATGAAAAAATGTAATACATTGAAGTTTACTAGACCATAGATATGGTGGTTGTATTTGTTTTGTTTTTTTTTCAGGGGAGGGGGGGAGATTATTTTCATTTGTTTTTACTTGGTGATTCTGTCAGTAACACATTTTCAGTTCTAGGATGATGACCTTCAACCTTCTGTATTAGGAAAACAAATTCAAAATAATTCAAAATAGGACTATGAAACCCATCTTCATCTTCTACAACCTAGAGGGAGATGGGTCTGTAGTCCTCAAAGACAGCTGAGAACAATTTAACCACTTGCCGCCCTGCCACTGTAGAAATACGGCGGCAGGGCAGGCAAAACCACGTTTTAAAACGTGTGTTTTGTAAACAGATAGGGGGTGCGTGCGAGGCGCGCCGCCGCCCTATCTGTCCCGCCGATCACCGCCGCGGATGTCAGTCGCCGGGTCACAGCCGGTCCTTACTGGCTGTTTCCCGGCGATTGGCGGCAAACAGTGACAGACAGCACAGCTGCAGTAGCTGTGCTGTCTGTCACTTCCCTGACAGCTCGAGGACGAGCTGATCGAGAAAGAAGAGTTTCTCTCTCTCGATCAGCGGTGTCCCGTGCAGCACACCCCTGCCCCCTAGTAAAACACTCCCCCTCACACAGATAACCCTTCCCTGCAAAATAAAGTTAACCCCTTCCTCCCCATTGCCATTAGTACAGTGTCAGTGTTTTTTTTTTTTTTTTGCACTGATCACTGTATTAGTGTTTTTAGGGATGTCAGTGACCCCAAGTCAGTACCCCCCAATGTCAGAATGTCCGCCGCAGTCCCGCAGTCCCACCATAAGACGCTGGTCGCTGCCATAAGTCACTGATTGCCGCCATAATTTGCTGATTGCCGCCATTATTTATTAGTATAAAAAAAAACCTAAAAATCCCAGTATCTTTCCTGCCATTTGTAAACGCTATAGCTTTCACGTAAACCAATTAATTTACACGTATTGTTTTTTTTTTTTAGCAAAGACATGTCGCAGAATGCATTTTGGCAGAAATTTATGACTAAATTTGATTTTTGCATTTTTTTTTACTGGACATGTTTTATAGCAAAAAGTCCAAAATATTTTATTTTTTTCCTCAAAATTGTCAGCCTTTTTTTTATAGCACAAAAAATAAAAACCACACAGGCAATCAAATACCACCAAAAGAAAGCTCAATTTGTGGGGAAAAAGGATGTAAGTTTCATTTATGTACCGTATTGCATGACCGCGCAATTGTCCGTTAAACTAGCGCAGCGCTGTATAGCAGAAAAATTGTGTAAATTGCAGTATTTATACCATAGTTTGTAGACACTATAACTTTCACACAAAGCAATCAATATACACTTATTGGGATTTTTTTTACAAAAAACATGTAGCAGAATACATTTTGGCCTAAATTTATAACCAACTTTGAGTTTACTATATATTTTTTATAGCTGAAAGTAAAAAATATTGTTTTTCTTCAAAATTTTTGGCCTTTTTTTGTTTATAGCGTGAAAAATAAAAAGTGCACAGATGATCAAATACCACCGAAAGAAAGCTCTATTTGTGTGAAAAAAAGTTGAATTATCAGTTGAATTAGTGCAGCGCTGAGTAGCAAAAAGAGGCCTGGTCATTAAGGGGGGTAAATCCTCAGGAGGGCAAGTGGTTAATTAACTGATTATATTCAGCATAAGCAGAGCGTAGAAAGTTATCAAGTCACAAGATTTTTGGCAAGACTAACAAGCATTTATTTGATCTTGCCAAACAGATATAAAAAATGCATTCTTTTTTACGTTTAACAGACCAAAGTGGAGAAAGTAAGAGAAGTTTATTGGTAGGGTTTACATACAATTAAAGTGTTACTAAACCAAGAACCCTGCATACACTATATCTGGTCTCCCACTGTACACACAACATGGAAATGCAATATTTTAGTAACTATAAACTGCTAAATACCTTTTTTCATCAGAAGTTAGAGCAGTCTTGTGACTTCTATCAGTGTCCAGCTGTACACTGGTTAAAGCTTGTAGGAGGAGTTTTCATTCTGCTCTATGAGGATGCAAAGCCCCTGACCAGTGTTGATTGGCCCTGTGCTGATCACATGCACTCTCCCAAGGAAAAAAAACATCCCTAGCAATACACACCAAACTGAGCATGTGCAGAATGCCTACGGTTCAGTCTGTCTTATCAGGAGACAAGGGGGTGGGACCGTTGAACAAGGGGAGGAACAAAGCAGTCAGGATCAAATGGCCTTTTCACACAATGCAGAGGATTAATCCCTTAGGTTCCACATTGAGTATAACAAGCATGCTTTACTGCATATGCAAACTGATTTTACTGTTGTGGGTTTAGAAACACTTTAGAGGAACAAGATTTTTCAAGAGTACGAGGAGTCTCTCTAAAGCACTAGACAATATTTCAGAAAGAAGGCTATAAACACTGGAGACAGCCCCCACCACTGGGAAGAGGTAAGTAAAAATGGGCACATGGGGAAAGGGTGTGAGACACATATTAGGTTAGAAGGCTAAGGAGGTAGGGGCTGGACCTTTCTACCAAATATTTGCACAAAAAAGCTTTTAAATATATTTTTGTATGAATCATAGCCAGGGGCAGACTGACCATTTGGAAACTCGGGCACTGCCTGAGGGCCCGGGGTCAGTAGGGGTACCCATGAGATGTCCCTGATACCTTTTTCATAGGCTTTTTTGAGTTTGGGTAAGGACACAGGGGCCCCATGATCCCCTATTGCCCAGGGGCCCCATGAGTTGTCAGTCCGCCCCTGATCATAGCCCACATATTACTCCAGTTCAGAGATAATTTTTCGATGTACTTGTAGAACACATCATATAGTCATGAAATAGTTTTTAGAGGTTTCAAGCTAGTAAGGAAAGGCTGGATGTAATTGTCTCCCACAGTCCTTTACCATTCAACTGGTTTTATTTAACAATGTATTCCAAAGCGCATTAGTTAGCAGCCAGTAAACCTGTGCACTTAAAGTAGAATTTCAGCTACAGCATTTTTAAAAATTTTGAATAGAGTGGGGGGGAGGAGGGAACTTTGAGGTTTTTATTTTTTTAGTGTCTCTATTAAAGAGATCCTCTTTACCTGATGACCACTAGTCACTGAAACAGTAATCCTGACAGAGGTTTTACCCGTCCTTAATTTACGTTTAGGAAAATAAAGGCTCCAGGTTTTTTACCTTCATGTATTCTATAGATGAAGGTAAAAAACCTTCTGAATGCAGCTCCCCCCACCTCCCATAATACTTACCAAAGCCCCATCATGATCCAGCAATGTGCATGAGAGTGTCAGCTCTCCGAGGACTCTCCTTCCTCATTTGCTGACACAGCAGCTGGAGCCATTGACCATGTCACTGACCACGTTACTTGGGCATGAATCAAGAGGGAATCTCCCAAATTAGGACACATAATGTATTAAAACCCTTACAAAGTGGGGTGTATTCATGAAGGTGGTCATCTATTATGTTTAGGTGCATTCCCAGCAACATCTGCTTGATAATAATTAGCACACAATGGGGTTAATTTACTAAAGGTTAATGTGCACTCTGCATGCGCAGTTGCTCCAAAGGTTAATAAACAAGGTAAAATTTCACATTACAAACAATACCCAATCGCCTGCAAGAAAATTAAAAAAACAGAATTATTGCTTGCACATGATTAGATGATGGAAGTCAGGAGAGCTTCTTCTCATTTACTAAGCTCTGGAGCAATCGCACTTGCAAAGTGCACAGTCTATTTGCATTTAGTAAATCAATCCCAATTAAACATGTGCAGTGAGTTTTGTTTGAAATATGGATGCATTTTCTGTTATTCGGAGATTCGGT